AGCAACGGGAGCGTCAAGTTCAACGCCACCATTGCCAATGACGCCATTATTTAAAACAACAATAGATAATACTATTAGTCCCGCTTACTGGAAAGACAACCCTAATTTAACAGTAAATGATATTAAATTTCAATTTTATTTAAGAGGAATTCAAGTGCCAGAAGAAAGCGAAATACAAGAAGAATTGAAACACAAAGGCAGAGGCAAGGCGAGAACATACAAAGAATATTTAGTAGATATGATTTTAGATACTATTGATAATGGCGGGTGGATAGTAAATTTAGGCAAAGGTAGAATAGAAGAACTCAAGGCCAGTTTTAAAGGTAAAGGAAAGAAATAATATATAAATATTTATAATGATAATATTAACTAAAAATATACTGAAAAGAAAGAAGCAGAAGTTCAATGATAATTATGATCACGACGACAGTTTTTCAACACATAACCTAACAAAACCAAACACACCAACAACAATACAACCACCGAATGATGAAAAAAGGCATACCGAGAGAATTTATTGACATTGCAACCAATACAGATACAATTGCAACAGAAACCAGAGAGACTGACGAAAAGTTATACAATGATGCAAATCAGCAATTAAATATGACATTTGAAGCGTTTAAGGTAAAGGAAAACCAAGACAATATGTTTAAAATAATGCTTAAAAACTTTTGGCACAACGCATACAAAAGACAAGAACCAACAAGAACGCAAGCAACACAAACCCTGAAAAACCAACGCGACGCAATGGTGTCAGCCTTTACTACAATGCTTGACAACAACAAACCACCAGAACCACCGCCAAAGAAACCACCAGACGAGGAGGACAGCGATGAAGAAGAAAAGAAGTTCAAACTGACAAAAATGATAGAAATAATGCTACACAACGGCGCTACGGTAGCAGATATAATATTAAACTTATCACATAGCACAATTGCAACAACAATAAATATCGCAGATTTAGTTAATCAAATAACAGCAGGAAATGCACAAGGTAGCAGTAGTTCTTCTAATGAAATTGTTAGTGTTCATAGTTCTCCACCTATTACTGTTCATAGTTCTTCATCTGAAAGTCCAACAGAAATACCAGCACCAACTGAAGACGAAGAAGAAGAAGACGGAGAAGAAAAACAAAAATATAATTTTGAAAAATTAAAATCTAAATAATATTATATATAATGGGTTCAAGTAAATCAAAACCAGTAGAAATTGATGATGAAGAGGCTATTAAAGTAATAAAAGATATAGATGTAAATACGATAAGTGAAATGTCAAGAATTGATATTCTACAAATAAATTCATTGAAAGCAATAATAAATAAATTAGAAAAAGTTAATGAATGTAAAAAAGATAAAATATATTATAAATTTCCTGCCTTAAATTTATGTAGCTATTCTTTATTCTAAATTGATAATATTAACAACATTAATATTATCAATTACTATCATAATCTGTCATTTCACTTTTTGGCGTAATTTTGAAACAGGCTATTGCTACACATATCATCTATTAAATCTTCTTCATCAACAAAATTATTTTGAAATCTTAATAATTCCTCGTCTGTTGGTCGTCTTTTTAACACTTTATAAAGTTTATGTATCCAAGAATTAGTATGAAAATTGTAATTACCTCTACGATAAAATCCACCACATCTACATAGTTTCATTAGCATATTATTATATTATATTAAATTAGAATATCTTTATTCATCATTTGTAATTTGAAATGCCTGTTCAAAATTGATATGAAACATGTTGTTAATGTCTTTTGAATTCATATTCACGTAGAAAAAAGAATATGGAGCAAAACTCACTGCTTGATGATACATATCTAATAATTGCTGTTTGTCAACAATGGCGCTATTTTCTTCAATAAAACTCATTAATTCACTGGCATTTTTCAACCTAAAAAAATATAATGAACTGGCATTTAAACGAATGATAGGCGCCAACACATTATATTTCTGTGTTGAACAAATTACGCTTACTGCATCGTGCCTACCTCTTGTAAATAATCCATGTAATAATTTACTATATCTAACAAATTTAGGATCGTCGGCATGATCGTCTATAACGATTAATATTGAATGTAGTTTCTTTATCTTTTTAGATTTCATATAATTAATTTTTTCTTCTGTCTTTCAATTACATTTTCTAAATCACTTGGATTATAATTATCAAAATAAATTTGTTCTTTTTCATCATCCACGTGCAATTCATCCCTGATATATTTTTTTAACTTCTGTAAAGGTTGGGTCATTATGAACGCTGGGGGAAAATATAATATTCTTGCAAATGAATTTCTATAAACATTTAAGATAAGGTTCTGAACCAAGACTGTTTTGCCACCTGTCGAACTCGCAACTATAATACTTCTAAATGGTAATTTTGGCACGTGCTCATATTTAGATTGTTTGAATTCATATTCAGTTATGTTTATTGGCTTTATTATTGGAACATCTGACATAATAAAATAATATTAAAGTTATTTAGAAAATATTTTATATTTATTATTTTATATGAATAGAAGCTATTCAGATTATATTGATATAATAGATGAAGTAGAGAATATAGAACAAGTTGTTATAACTGATAATAGATGCAAGAAAGTATGCTATTTTGTTTTAGAAATAATTAAGTTTGTGATACAAAATATCAAAAATATAAATGTAAATATTAATATAAATTGGAAGAAAGAAAAAGAATAAGACTGAACCAGTTGTTTCTTCAACTGATGAAGAAAAAGAAGAAGTTGTTAAAGAAACATCAGTTATTGAGTTTGCTTGTCCAATGTGTAAAAGAATATTAGAAATGAAAAATGAATTAGAAATTCAAAAGAAAGGAAATTGTAAAGGTTCGTGTATTCCGACAAGTTTCAAACTAAGTAAGAATGATAAGAAAATGAATATTGATAAAACTAAAGACAGTATCAACTTAGAAACAGATGTTCATAATATTGCTATACGCTTTGGGAGGGGAGTTACTCCATCCGATAATGGCGATAAGGAAACACAGGAAACTATTAAACAAATGATGAAAAATTAGTATTTAAAGAGTAGATTTAACATAATTTAAACATGTAGTTTTAAAAGTTTTATTTTATAGTATAATATATATATATTTACATGGATGAAGGATTAGAAAAGATGGTTAAAAAACTGAACAAGGTTTTAGAACAGAATAAGAATATTTTGGAAATCTTACAAGAAATGGAAAAGAAGAAACCATTAACAAACAGTTATCAAAGTAAAGAAGTAGATAGAACCAATGGTGAATATAAAAATAAAAGAAATATTTATTTAAACAAACTTAATAACAAAGAAATTAAAGAACCGAAGGCTTCAACTATGACATTTTATCAAATTGACTATGATGAAGATACAGGGGTTTATTCTTGATTGAAAACATTTTTCTCTGAAAATCCGTTTAAAGACATATTGGCATAACTAATATTATGAGTTCTACAGATGATGAAGAAGAAACAGGATGCACAATGGTTTATCCTTGCAGTAAATGCGACGAAGCAAAGCCAAGAAAGGACTTTCGCAAAATGTATGACAGAATTAAAATGGAAGAGATATTTTACAAAACATGTAAGGAATGCAGAGACAAAGTAAAAGCAACAAAAGAGTTAAGGAAGGAACAGAAGAAACGAATACAACCCCTGGAAATACATAGATTAAAGCCTTTGATACCATAGTTTTGCTATACTTATAACATATAAAATCTTATATGTTGTAATTTTAGTTTAATTTTCCCGTATAAGCCGTGGGGGTGCTTTCCTACATAGGCCTTTCCCATCCGCATTTTGCCATCCATATTTTACTGGGATTGTTTTCAAGATTTGGGTTAACGGTTTCAATTCTCCCTTTTCCATTGGTTAACCATTTTTCGGGGCGAACATAGGGTTCTTTTTTAGACTGTTCGTATTTGTTGGAAATGGGAAAGGGTCTCAGGTTGGATCAAGGGAGAAATTATTGAGTTCTTGGGGTTGCGATCTTGGGAATGAAAAAATGTTGGTATGTAGCTTGGATTTTTTGGATGGGATTTGTTGAGGTGGTATGTAGTTATGATTGTTGTTATTGAATGAGCATAGGGGTGATGTTGAGATGGGGTAAGAAATGAAGATGGGTATGTGAATATGTGTTTTTTGGTGTTGGATTGGTTGGGTGATTGAATTTGAATGTTGAAAATAGGTTGTTTTAGTGGGCGTATTCAGAATGTGCCAAAAAGTGTGGGGGGGACCCTATGACCGGATGGCAAAATGCGGACGGGAGAGGCCACCACTAACTGTAGCGCCCTTGCAGGTCGGCAGAATGTCCTCCTGCGTCAAAGAGTGATGAAGGTTTTGGACTTCAGTCCAGCCCAAATTGGCCCACTCTTCAAACTCCGGAAAGTCTTCGCCATTGAAGTCTCCAGAAACGTATCGAAGGCCACTGCGCCCGTAAACCAGCTCCACAGAGATCTGCTGAAGGAGGTTGCGCGTGGCTTCACGTGCACGAGGCCAAGTGGGACCAGTTGGCCAGCCATAGACGACTGTGCCGGTGATGTGGGTGTGCCCCAAGTTGAAAGACAACCTGAACCCGGCCAAGCGAGTATTCGGAGTCAGGAAAAGGCACTTGCAGCCTGTACGTCGGCATGTCTCCCATCTGATAGACACCAGCCCAGGTGCCAGTCGTGAGACTCCGGGCTCGTAGTGGAACAGGGGCGCCAAAGCCGTCGCTGCTGTTGTGAGGCGATGTGACGAAAGGTTTGGCAGCAAGCCTTGATCCCCGGCTGTGCCAAATGAGTCTCAGCGAAATTGAGAATCCCACGCGGGAGGCTCAAACAAATGGATTCTTTGGCCCGAAGGCCGGTCGGATTGGCGAAGGAGATCGCAAGTGGGGGGCCCGGGTTGATGGCCTCACCGAGAGGGTAGAATTTGGAGGGCAGACCCAGCTGCCAGTGACGGGCAGGGGGGAGCGCAGAGCAGAGTCGCCGATGGGAAAAGCCAGGCTGATGGTCCGACCCAAAACCGCAGCCACAGAGAGCCGCGCTGAGCAGGAAGGGCCGGGCAAGATCATCAGCAAGGCTGAAGTGGAATGCGGTGTAGAAGAGCTCGCACGGAAACGAGTGAATGCTGCCCAAAAGGAAAAAGCTGATCCAAGATAGCAAAGCCCATAGCGGCCCTCCCCCCTTGGAGTAGAGGAGGCCTAGGCGTGCAAGTCAGCCCACACGAGGGCGCTTCTCCAGAAGGGCCTCCATGTTGGCAAAACCCCTCCCAATGTGGTCCTGAAGCGCGTTTTGGCCGTCCTTGAGGGTGGCCACCTCGTGTCGCAGGTCGTTCCGGAGAAATTCTACTTCTTTGTGTTGTTTCTCAAGCTGGGCTTGCAAGTTCTCGATCCTGTTGCCTTGATGGCAAGTGGTGGCTTGGATTTCGCCGAAGAAGGCGTCAAAGCGCTGGTTTTGCCGCTGCAGCTCCTGGATACTGACCTCCATACGCTGCATGCGCATGTCATCCTGCTGACGTTGGTCAGAGTCATCGATTTCCATAGAGGGATGCTGATTGACGTGTGCTTGCACATGGGCTGCAAAATCGGCTTTGAGCCTGGTCTCAAGTTGCTGTAGCCGATCCGGGTTGTGGGATGGCTGTGATCCTCCCCATGGATCCTTCACCAGCCATGGGTCGGCCGGGGCCGCCTGTGTGTTGGATGCGCTGGCCTGCTGGCCACCGTTGCTGATGTTGCGGGTGCTAGTGTTGCCCCCCCGGATGTGTTGACGAGTGGAAGGCGTGGCAAGGACCAAAGCCTGCGGGGTAGCTCGGCTGACATGCTTGACGAGTGTGATCGCCGCGTCGCCGAAGGAGCCTTGCATCACGTGAGAGGGAGGAGGTAGGTGTGAGCCCACTTCCCATGCTGCCCCCTCCGATCCTCCGCCTGCTGCATGGAGGACCTTGGCGTCCCAGCTCCACTTGGACAACAAATGCTGGAGGTTACTCCTTTGTGTGCCGAAAGGCAAAGGGTAGATGCGGTAGATAGAGTGAATCTTCGAGCTGACAAATGTGTCAGTGGGCCGAAGGTGGCTGAAGGCGTCGGCTTGGTGCTCGGCACTGAAACGCAGGCCATACTTGGAGTGGATCCTGCAGACACAGATGGCATGATCGACAATGCAGAGCTTGTGCAAGGCGTCCATGAGATTGGAACCGGGAAGCCAAACGGCTCCGTATGCTTCGTCGGCAAGTTTGCCGCAGTGAGAGCGAGGTTCAGCGTAAAAACCAGAGGCTCCTGATGCTTTCTGTATGCTGCGTTCCGCGCATTTCGGAACCCGAACCAGCACTGAGAACGAGGTCGCCTCTGATGGGGCACAAAATTTGCCGTTGTCGGCAAGCCAGCTGCGGCTCCAGATGTCAAGCAGGAGCACCTCCAGAAGTTCATCGACTGGGGCATGGAACTTCATGCAGTCTGTGCCGCATCCCGAGGCCTTGCAGAGTTGCAGAACTGGCACAGCTTCCAGGAGAGCCCGAATAGGTCTTTCCTGAAAGACTGACCAGTTGTGGGGCCAATCATCGCGATAAATTGTGAGCCGTAGTGTCTGTGTTGACACTACCTCCATGGTGTGCTGGTGGTCAATGTTGCGGGAGATGGTTCCCTTGCCGAGGGAAATGAGACTCCCTTGTATCAAGAGAGGTTCTGCAGTGGCGATGTAGGTAGCGGGAAACCTGAGGTCTTGCACTTGGAGTGCGCCTCGCAACTCAGCAGGAAGTGGCGTCGGTGTGAGAACCCCAAGCGCCTCCTCAGAGATGATCTTGCCTTCCCGGAGGAAAGGAGCAAGTTGTTGAAGACCGCCGAAGGCAATGCCCTTCTTGCCCTGACCTAGGGATTCGAAGGGTATCTGCTCCAAGGCTGTGCCCTTGTCGTCTGTGAAGGACTGCTTGATGAGTGACAGCTGGCTTGGGTTGACCGCCAAAGGCGTTTCAGCCAACGGCCGAGGCCGTGACTGGCGTGTTTTGTCGGCTGGTTGTACCCGGAACTTGCTGTGTGCTCGTTGTTTGATCTTGCTCTGCAATTCATCTGCCTTTATGAGGCGAAATGATGTTTTGGGTCGTGAGGCATACGCTTTGAGGGCCTGCCAGGGTTGCGCCCCTCGTAGAGCGGTAGTGACCTCATTGTGCCCAATCATCTTGAGGGCAAGATGCGCACGCTCATCTGCCCTGTCATCCGGGACGCCTTTTTCAGCGAGAAGACGCCTCAATTGGTCCAACAGTGGTTGGTCGTCGCCGCCAGGGCCGAGACCGGTTGGGACCTGGTGGTAGGCATGCTGATCGTGCCAACAGAGGTCCAGAAGGACAAGTTGGTGGTGCAGATCGCGGATCGCCGGATGCTGGTCGGTATGGAGACCAGTGGATGATGAAAGGGCTTGCATCGTAGCAGGGAGAGGTAACATGGTGTGGGACGAGCGTGCCTGCTGTGGCTGTGGACAAATGTGGTGAAGCCCCAGGCAGAGGGCGAGATGCAACAGGGCCACAGTGCCGCAGGTGTGTGGGGACAGCTGAGTGATCAGCCTGCTGGAAGTGAAGCGCAAGGCCTGTCCTGAAAGCGTAGCCTGCCCAAGGCAGTAGGCAAGGGCTGCCTGTGCGGATGCTGTGTCTGCAAGGCCGTCGTAGTGTTGGCAATGTAGCGTGTCATGGTCAGTTTGCATACTGACGATGGTCCAGTGATGGTTGTGAAGGAGGAAGACAAAGACCTCTGACTGATCAGAGTCACCATTGAAGGACCAAAGAGGGCCCAGCTGGAGATCGATGGCTCTGCAATGCAAAGGTAGTCGGTTGTGAAGTAGTGCAAGAAGATCGAATGCACCAGCACATAGGGCGAGGCTTGACAAGCCAAGAATGGTCATGTCGGGTCCGGAGCCGAAGAGAGGCGTGGTGACCCACAGGTCACAGCTATGCCACAGCCGTGCGTCCTGGTGGAGCTGCACATGGCCCACTGAGAAGGTGGGAGCTGTGGGATCCAGACCTGCTTCAGCAAGGAATTGGAGCAACAGAGATCCTGCGGGAAGCAGGATGGATTGGGACGACTCACCAAAGTGTAAGGTGACGAAGATGCCGCCGTCGGGTCGGGGTAGCGCCTGCTTCTTCAGGACTCGCCTCAAGTTGTAAGGACCGCATCGCCCAGAGGGTCGGAGATGGGCTTCCGGTGCAAGGCGTCGCATGCCATCAAAGAGCTGAGTGGAGTATCCCCAGTGGCCTTGTACCACCTCAGCACGGAGAAGTTGACCGACCGTTGTAGGTGCGCAAACCCGCAGTGGGATGGGTGGTTCGTCCTCTGAGGAGATGACTTCGACGGTAATTGGGGTGCCAGCACGATCCCAGGGTAGGAGGTCATGGACTTGGTTGAGTAGTAGGTCCTGGTAGGACTGGATAGTGTCCGTTGGTGGCATCGTAGTGTGAGTGTCGTAGTAGCCATCCACGGTATTGGCGAGGTGCGCAAAGACCCAAAGGGCCTGGATGGGCGCTGCCGACTGCCCCAGCATAGGCAGTGAGTCACGGCCTGGTAGCAGCTTAACTCCCGGAGGAAAAGTCAGAAGGGTGGCCGCCTCAGAAGGGTGCAAATGTCGCACTGCACCGTCCGTAGAGTCCTGCACTCCGAAACCACGAAGACCTTTGGTCTGAAGACGCCATGGCAGGAATCCCTTTGACCGACACAGGCAAGGACAGCCCGAAAACACATGTCCATATGAATGCAACATGGTAGGGCAGCAGCTGTCCGGGCGAAGGATTCGTTGTTCCTGTCCAGCATGGGGACCAAAATACCAATCCATTTCTTCGGCGGTGAAGAACAGGGGGAAAAGTTCCTCTGCTGTCCAGCAAGGCCATGAGGGGAGAACATCCGCAATGCACTTGCAGCCTGTGTTGGTTGGCCAGGAACGAAGGGCAGGGATAGGCAACCACTTGGGCACTAGCAGTGCCCACCAGCGTGCCCGGCGCATAGGCCACTGTTCCTTGAGGTCCAATACCACCTGTACGAAGTGCATATCCATGATGTTGGCAAAGTCCCTGAGTGCTTGTTGCAGCCGAAGATTGTATCCTGCCTCAACCACGCACTCAAGGATCAAACCGGTAGCCTGATGCAGGTAAGCAGACCGCAATACTCCCCAAAAAGCGGCGGCTCGCTGATCATCAAAAGCACGTCCATCACCCTGTTGACTGAAAGGTTGACAGGGGAAACCGGCGGCTTCCAAAGTGGGACCAACATGTCCAGCTAGATGCAGAGTACAAAGGTCCTTGTCGCTGGTGATGTTGCCGCAAAAGGCTGGAAATGAAAAATTCATCTGCAAGTGCCGGATGGCCAGGGCGTTGATGTCCATTGCGGCAATCACTTTTGCGCCTCCAGCTGCAAGGCCAAGGCCAATACCGCCAATACCTGCACATAACTCTTTGACCTCACCAAAGCTGTGTTGGGTGGCCTCGGCCAGATGTACAAGCACGGATTCCGGTGTGTGGCTCAGCGAGCCATCTGCGCCCACTATGTAAAAATACAGAGTATACCGGTGGCCGGTCTGCAGCATCAGGTGAACCATGACCGTGAGTTCTGTCCCCAAGATCTCGCATTCGGTGATGCCCTCCTCATAGATGTGCTTTGCAAGCACCACACCTGTGAATGCCTCCCCCGCTGTCGGGGTGGAAATCCAGCGAAAGCGATCCATTGTGTCACTCCCCGAGTGTTCGCAGTCCCAGCTCTACCGCTGGGAGGGCTCGGGCCAAGAGCTCCATGTTCCCAACACAAAAGAGCGCATGGAAGACACCAACGCCCATGGTGGGAGCTCCATTTATTTTCATGTCTTACCAGCTGAGTTGACGCTTCAAATTGTCCTGAAGTCACTGAACAGTTCGCACCAAAATGACACGGAACACATGCCATCTCAACTGGTACGACTACCAGGTCGAACAGGCGGGTGGTTGGCCTGTCAACCAAAGACCAACCACGCCATGGTGAAGATTGGTGAATTGCAGGCTGCTCAAGATAACCTTTGGAAACCTTGGGACGGCTACTTCAAAGGGGCCCAAGACACATTCAGGCCTTCATATTGTTTGCGGGGGAAGCTTCTTGGAAAAGCCAATTTTCACATGTCCATACCACATTTGGAGAACCCATGTGGGTGTTGCATAAAAAGACCCTAACCCTCTCCCCCCCAACCAAAATCAGACAGATCCCCCAACCGTTGAGGCCTTATTTGGCCTCAGTAAGGCCCGAACAGAGATCCCAGCTGTTGAGGGGCTCTTGACCTTTTGTTGGTTTCCCTCTTGAACTCAATATAGGGGCTTCACGATGCTAGGACCCTTGCCCGCGGTCAATTTCAAGAGGAGACCAACAAGGAACATGCTGCCGTTCACAGGGGTTCCTGCTTGTGGCATGTTCCCATTTCAAGATCCACGCCTGAGTTCACGAGTTTAAGTGGCTTATTGGCAAGGGCCACTTGACGCAAGCCCGATACTGCACTCGACCAACTCGAGGAATGCAGTACTTGAGCAACGTTCAATGACCGTAGCCAGCAGTCCAGGGACCAGGGTCATGACATGGGGACACCAAGTTGCCATTGGGGTTCACCAAATTGCATAACTGTGGCTCACTTGGTTCCTTCATGTGGCACGGAACCTTCCCCTTGAATGGACTCCTGGGAGTCATTGGGGAGCGGCCCCTCCCCTTTCCGCACGGGGTCAGGTGAGCTGACTGCCAGTGCCTCATGAGATGTGCAAGAGTCAAAAGACCTGGTTGATTGCGGTTCACATGGCTAGCCGTTGGTGTGACCGAATCGCCACTTAGACCTTTTGGAAACAACTGGGTTGTCCATTAAACCTAAGGCTAGACCTTTTGCTCAGTGGCTCCTGGAGCACAGCCCGGGCAAGGTTTGATCCGAAATAGGGACTTAGAGAATCAGGTCTAACATGAAGCCCGTTTTGGATTTCCCACCCATATTCTGGTTGACATGTTCCAAAGTTTGCCGCACCTTGTGGTTCGGTGTAGCTCATCGTTGTTCACAGAGGTTTGACAATCGGGTATCCTATGAAGGAAGCCGTGGCCTCTGTGTGTGTGTGTGTGTGATGTGTTTGCCTCCTGACATCGATCAGGACGCTATGAAAAGTGGTGTCAACATGTCCGCACAAAACAACAGCGAGCCCTTTGGTCTTGCATCCCAGGGATATATGAAATACAATCGTCACTAGACTTCGCAGAATTCTCTGACCTTTTTTGCATGTGCCCTTTCGGTCAAGTGGGCGTGTGTGTTTTTCGAGGGCACCTTCTCTGGCTGGTGTTAAAGGGAAATCAGAAGTACGCGGCCATTTTCGGGCCTCGGAATTCCAACACGCGCCCAGAAAGGACGATGCGACACCACTCCGGGCCTATGCACAGGTCCGGCTCTTCACTTCGCAGACGCCGTGCTTGCCGGCGGCTCATGCACGGGACTTCCGAAGGGCGAAGTCTGAGCAGGAAACCATACGGGTGTGTTTGTTTTCTGAGGGTACCTGTTTTTGTGTTTGGTTTTGGCGGGAAAGCAAAAGAAAGCTACATTTTTGGGGGTACCCATAATAATAGTTTGACAGTTGGTCAATGAACAAATTGTGCCCTGGTTCCCCCAATCCGCGGCCCCTGGGGATGCTCCCTCCGACCAATGGGTGCTTGTTTAGAAAGGGGCCCTCTTTTTCAACACGGTGACCCCATATCCCAGAGTACAAGACACGGGTTTCGACTGATTTGACTGGCAACCTGCATTTCATCCCGCAGTAGTTGTAGAAATCCTCGTGGCCAGCGTCGGGGACACCTGAGACCGCTGTTTGTCCTTTTCCACCACATGCGGGCGGTGAGTCGCACGGCATTCCGACCATCCTACTGCATACAAGGGCAACTTGTATTTCGAGGGAGGTTTGACTTTTGCATGCAAGATTGAATTGCCAACGAGCATTTGCCTTTGATGGTCCTATTTGAAGTCAGGTTCGATCTTAGATGAGCCTGTCAGCTGAGGTCATGCTTGGGTGCGGTACGGCAGCCGCGAGCTTGGGGGGGCGGGTTCTTGTCAAAGGATACCCACCTTTTGAATCAACCAGGGGATTTGTCCGCCACTTGGCAAATTTGGTTGTGTCGCATTCTTGGAAGGACACAAATGAAACCAATCGCTTGAATGGGCCCCAAAACTGGCGGTTTCCTTTTTGGATCCCACATCAGGCAGCAGGCGTAATTCCTGCCGAAGTCTGCTGTTGTCACAAATCGACGGCACGAAATCAGCAACCTCGCCCTTAGTGTTCTCCTTTTGTTCTCCTTTTTCAGAGGGTTTCATTTTCAGATCAACTGCACAAACAAATGTGCCCTTTGCCCCATGTGCACTGGAAAAACCACCGAAACCACGCTGGATGGATCGCCCATGGCCAGACCCCAACAAGCCCCAGACCTGGAAGGTCTCAAGGTGTGTTGCACAAAATCGGCGGGCTCGGTCCCGTCGTACCCTCTCTAGGCGCTTTTTGCTCGGTCTGCTGGTGTCTCTTGGCATTTATCCAAAAAAGGGTTGTAGACAGATTCGAATAGTTCCCATGGTTGCTGGGGAGGCCCCAATGGCCTTTGAAGAAGGCATCCCTATGCCCCTGTGTTTTCCTGACCGGATTGAAAAACAGATTGGTACCCCCTCGCTGAAATTGAAGCGGATTGATAGTTAGGGCACATCAAATATGAGCAAATGGGGGCATCTTTAAACCCAACCAGCTTGAATGAAAGGGATTGATAGTTAGGGCACTTCAAATAAATGGGGAGTATCTTCAACACCACCAGAAAGATGGGTCATCTTTAAAGAAGCTCCACAAAGAATGTCGTTTTCGTCTCCACGGCCGCGCGACGGACCCGAGGTTTCAGCTCCTGTTCCCCTCTGCACAGCCGGGCCCCCAGCCGGCGGCTCTTAGGTCCAACATGTCTCGGACCCCCCCGCCCAAACAAGAAAAGGCTATCCCCCCCTTAAAAGCAAGAGAGGGAGAGAGAGAGAGAGAGAGAGACTGGCCCGCTCGCAGCCATTTTGGTTTAAGATCCACAGCGCTTCCATACATTACTAAAAAAGGATGCGGCTCGTCTGCATCGTTTTAGGTCTGTGCACCACATGGACGCTTTGGCTTTATAGTCCATCGTAGACAGCGTTTTGCTGTCAGTAGAAAGATGCCAGCCGACTCGGAAAGAAAGACGCGCTCGGGGTATCGAAATGAACGGTCATTTGTTTTTTGAGGAATGGGATGCCTGCATCATCGTAGATGCCCATACGGGCTTGCTAGGGATGGTCGTGTGCTGTTTGGGGGGTGGGCCAGCTTTTATCATCTGAGCCACAATCAAAACCCGGGTAGATGAAGGTTAGTAAGGGGCAGTCCCAGCCAGAAATAGTTGCGGCCGTCTTCTTGATTATGTACATGGTTCTGGGTAGACCATTTCAATATCGGGTTTTGATTGTGACTCATCTCTTCATCTCTCGTCAAGTGGCATCCCCCCGCAAGGAGATGGCTTCGATGCCTTCACGCCGTTCAGGCGGCCAGTTGCGCGTGCCGAATGTGATCGACTTACTGAGTGGTTCCCGTGAAACGGAAACTTGAGGGCCAAAATGACAAAGGGACCTTTGTGTCCTACGGGATTTGCCAGATAGAAATCTGTGTTTCCGAGAATCGGAATTGGAATTCGCAAAAGTAAATGGTGTCCAGTGAGGGGTTCTTTCAACATCATCCAAAGATGTGGTCCCCTATTTCAGGATACGCCCGTGCTGCAAAGTTGGGACCTTGAAGGAATCAAGGTGTTTTATGTTCTTGGGGGTCTCAGGATGTGCGTGGGGATGTTGTTCAAGACGCCACCGAGACCAATCGGCTGCACATGTGGGCAGGCGAAGGATGGAAGCGTTTTCCGGAGCGCGGCGGTGGCAAGCATCGGTTTTTAGGTCCACTTCCCGCAATCCGCTTCAGAGTGATACAGACTTTATGGGAATGCAAATCCATGTTGGTATCACAGAGTTTGTTTTTCTCCACAACCATGCCGAAACCATGACCAAACCCATAGGCTTATCAGGCTAGAAGATTGGTCAGTGAAAGGACTCCTCCGGGACTCAAAATTTGACTGCTCTGGCGATCGCCCAGCGGCCATTGCAACTATCCCAGTGCTTCCAGGCAAGTCGCTATTGTAGGCAAGCCCTTGGGTATGGCAGCCAGGTTTTACATGATGGAAAGCCCTGGTTACCTACTATAGTGGTAACTGGCAGTTCTGGGTATGTGATGTCACATTTGATTGACCGGACATCACTGCGTTTTGCTTTAACAAAAAACTCTACCCTTCCGATTTTGGTCAAATGTTTGTTTCAGGGTACCCTTTCAAAGGTTGCTTCAGGAAATCAACGGATTTCGACACCCTTTTGGGGAGTGCCCTGATTTCGACACGCGACAGCGCAGGTTGGGCTTTTACTGGCCACCGACTCCGAGATCTTGGAGCGAGATGATGACTGCGCCGAGGGCGCCTGCGCGGTCAGTGCTCTTCAGGCGGGTCATGGACCAACATTCCCATTTGGGTGTGTGAGCTTTGAGGCTACTCTACCTTTCTTGGAGGCAGTTTCAAGGGAAACTACCTGCATCTCTTGAAAGTTGATAATTCCCACTCCAAAGAGAAAAAAGTACTTTCTTCCATGCTGGAGTGACAATTTTCACTCCGTGTTAAAATGCCCGTTCGGGTAGTTCCGACTGCTCAGGCATCCGTTCGGACCCGTTCGAAACCCGTTCGAAACCCGTTCGAAACCGGTTCGAACCCGTTCGAACCCGTTCGTACCCGTTCGGACCCGTTCGGACCCGTTCGGAGGTACGTAAAAAATACACCAACATTACGCAATAAGCCTTTGATAATTTATGTGCAGTGCTGATTTATGAACACTTCGATAATAATAAAAATATCCGTTCAAGAGTAGAAATACCCGTTCGAAAGTGGAAATACCCGTGTCCTCAGGCCAAAAAGTACTTTTTCAATTTTGGAGTAGGAATTCTTAACTTCCAGGAGATCCAGGTAGAAGGAAAGCCAACTTTTTTGGGGCCCCTTATTTTGACATTTCTTATGGAGCACCCAGTTCAATCCTTGGTACAGCCAAACGCGACTTGGCTTTTGGGCGCTCAATGTGTTCAGTGCAGTTTTCCGTGCTGCTCAACCGGTCTTTGTCAAGTGTTTCGAATGGGCCCACGCTCGGCACAACGTGTCACCTGTCCCAAAACGGCGGATGATTCTCCAAGCCGCCAACGTACAGGGCACCAGCTAGGTGAAACCACGATTCCCCAGGAGCTGCGGTGCTACAGGAATGCGTCCCCAAACAAAATTCCCATCTCGTGTGTGGGTGTGTTGAGGGTACCCGTACCCTGTGTTCGGGGTTGGTTTAAAGGGAAGCTAAAAGGAAACCCATCATTTTTTAGGGCCCCTAGTTTGACACGTGCCCATTTGTGAATATGAGATGAGGACACCCACGAGGGGCTTCACTAGATGCCCACGTCAGTGATTGCCTAGGGCTCACTCATGCAAAACGGCAGCCGGCAAGACGTGAACGTGGTCATGTTTGTTGCATGTCTGTTGTATTCAGCAGATTTCATGCATCATTGGTGTGAGCCTGTAGTCTTTGGTGTGACTTCTATTGTGTCACATTCTATAGAAAGCGGGTAGATACCGAAAGGAAATTAGGGGCTCATACCTATTGCCAATGGCCCATGCAATTGTGTCCTCCTTCCGATTGGCAATTGCCAGGAAAAAATGTATTGTGGAGGTATCCGTTTTGGGGTTCCTTCCGTTAATTTGCAAGGGAGTAACCTTCAAGTGAGCGTCTTTCTTTCTTGTTTTCGGCACATGTACCATAAGCGGCTGGGCAGTTCTCTTGCGAAACGTGCACAGCACTAAAGTTTCGCGGCTGGTTCGCGGACGGGCTTGCCTCGCCGGAAGCGGAAGGTTGAGGTGTGAAAGCGACCACCGCACTGCGAGCTTTGGCGAAAACATGTCCGCAGAAACAACGTTTGGCGCTGCGGAAACTTAACGGCAGTGTTTGCTGAAGGTTGAATAGTGCCTCTGGAAACCACCCTGAATAGCCAGTATTTGTTTGAAGTGGAGACACCAACAACTGGGGACGTGTGGTCCTGACAGGTTCGCGGCAAGCGTTTGGAGCAAGAGGCTGCGGAGGAACAGGCTGGGTCCGGAAGTGCGACACGAAAAATCGTGGCATGGGCTCTCCAAATTTGTTGGTTTGTAGGTCCCAGTTTTTTCAGGCAAGCCACTACCAGGCGAAACCATCATGTACAACCTAGAGGTAAGAAACCCTGGTAACCTACCATAATGGTAACTGGAAGCACTGGGAGTGGTCAGTAACCCTGGTATCCCACCTAGACTGAGAAGGTGTAAGTGGGCGTGTATGGCTAGTGTTTATGTTACACGGAAACCAGGGAGAGCGTGTCCAGCCAAATGGATACCAAAGTACGGAACTCCGTTTAAGTTAGTTTGGTTAGACATAGATGCCTCTGAATCAGATGAGTTTTGTTCCATGTACCAGGGCCATCTATTTTCCAAAAGGGCACCTATGGCAACATGCGGTTTGTTTGGGGCCTTCATCATCAGGACACCCAAATGTCCAGGGCAAAAGCTTCACGCTTGCGCTCACGTTGGAGCAGCCCGAGGTGCCTATTCACACCCCTTAGCAAAAAAAAAGCAAACACAGAGCTGCCAAGAGACCCGCTCTGGCAGAACAGAGATGTCCTTCGTGCATTTTTTTTTATAGCAGAGTAAAGCATCTGAAACCATCAAACAACGTAGTCCCATTTATGTACACCCATCCTTGAATGTTCAAATGTTGCACATACATACATACATACATACATACATACATACATACATACATACATACATACATACATACATACATACATACATACATACATACACATATACAGTACCATATACATCTACATCTACATATACATATACATGTACATGTACATATACATATACATACATATACATACATACATGTACATACATACACATACATACATACCTACATACCTACATACCTACATACATACATACCTACATACCTACATACCTACATACCTACATACCTACATACCTACATACCTACATACCTACATACCTACATACATACATACATACATACCTACCTACCTACCTACCTACCTACATACCTACATACCTACATACCTACATACCTACATACCTACATACCTACACACTTACATACATACCTACATACCTACATACCTACATACCTACATACCTACATACCTACACACCTGCACACCTACACACCTACATACCTACATACCTACATACTTACATACCTACATACCTACCTACCTACCTACATACGTACGTACATACGTACATACATACACATACATTTATACATGTATACACACATTTATACATACATTTATACATTTATACATTTATACATTTATACATTTATACATACATACATACATACATACATACATACATACATACATACATACATACATACATACATACATACATACATACATACATACATACCTGCATACATACATACATGCATGCATGCATTAATACTTATATATATATATATATATATATATATAGGTATGTTCATATTTCGGTCCATTTTGGGCCAACATGTAAGCGCAGAAAGACATGGGGCGGTGTTCCCGAATTGTGGCACATCTCCAGTGAGCTGCTGCGATGTGAGCTGCGCCGATTTCCTCCGGATTTCCACACCCAGGGCCTGCCTGAAATGAGGGCAAGGCACCTTGTAGCCAGACTTGCTCGGGCTTGCACTACCAGCAGCGGCAGCAGCAGCAAGGCCAACAGCAGCAAAAGCAAAACGCAAACAAGAAAAAGAAGAAGGGAAAGAATAAGAATCTGACGAATCAGAGGAATCAGCCGAAACGCTCACCTCGTTCGAAGTTCACGTCATGCGCTGATGTCGCAGCATTCCTTGCGCGCGGTCAGCGCCTACCACCTGGACGTGGACCTTTGTGCTGCGGTTCGGGCCGCTGGCCTGGAGCTGTCGGTGAGCGTCCATGATATCGAGCCCCTGATCCGGGCAAAGGGCAAGGACGGCTGGGGGCTGGGGGTTGGGGGGGTGGGTTGGGTGGGGGGGGGGGGCCACAAAATTGGGCAGTGCAGAGCGCCCTGTCTGATTAAGGCCTCATGTTTGATGTTGGGAAGAGCAGTGGTTTAAGCAAGGTTGAACAGGTGGATGTGCCCCACACGGGTTTGGACACCTTAAAGCGGCACTCTGATGGGCATTTTTTACAGCATCAATACCGTTTTGCTGAAGGGCTATTTCCCCGCTAAGCAGAGACACAAGAGCTCATTTTTTTCGCAGGGAGGCGGAGTTCGACCAGCCCAGAATCCAGACGCTGCTTTTCCATTCTAATTCACACATTCTGTGGGTCTCAACCGCCCCAGCGTGGGGCAAGTAAAATATGTGAATCAACCAGCCCTGGTGCTGTTTTACAGTGAAGTCAAACGGAGGTTGCTTGAACAATAGTGATTTACGCTCCCACCAATTGACATGGAATCTGACAGGGAGGTCCTGGAGACCATTTTCCTTTTAAAGGCACCTCGCGTCAGGTTCCATGTCAATTGGTGGGAGGGTCAGCGTGTTTAGACACACCAGGACGTGATTTGCCCCCAGACCCACAAGCTCGGGGCGTCCTATGTGGACTCCTTGGAGGGGGAAGACAATGTGGGCCAGGCGGCGGGGGGGGGGGGGGGTTGCCAGGGGCTTCGAGGGCGGGGGGGGGGGTTGCCTACCAAGGCAAAATGGCCACGACTGTTGGGCTGAACAGGGGCAACCCTCATTGGAGTTTTGCAAGATGCAAGAATTAATTGGGATTGATGGCCCCTTCTGTTTTGGACAAATTGGACACTTGGCCTCAGTTGAGTCTGTTTCCAAGACATTCGTCATTGTGCAAGTGATGTCCGCGATGGGTCCTGAATTTCCTTGTATACCAAGGTGTCTTTTTGGTTCCCCTTTTGAAACTACCCAAAAAAAGGATAGCCCCATGTAGCCGCAGAACAAGACAGATTTACTTGAACAACCGGACCCGTAGGGCCGTGTCACAGGGCAACCCAAATTTTATGGTTGCTGCGATCTTAGTGGTTATTGCCATGTTTACACGGTTTCCTGGATGGGAGTTCGCTAAAACGGGCACTCCTCAGCTTCCAGCTTAAGCTGTGCCCCTTTATTCGGAGCTTTGCCTATGTACCCGTCCAACCCATGGCGAAAAATGTCGTGCAGCGCTCAGGCCAACTTCATGCTCAGCTACTCCTGGTGTCTTGGCGAACATCTGAATCGGCTACTTGGATGGTCTGGGAGCTAGCTAAACGATTAGCAACCCTGGTTTTCCACCATGGTAAATGGTTTACAACTAGGGTTACTACCCACTTAGCCAAGTCCCGGGCCATCTAAGTACAGGACATTTTACAGACAACTAGGTCTCAAACGCCGCGTTTGATGGGTTTAACTCATTACCTGTAGATTTTCCTGCTGGTTTCTTGGCGAAACGCTGGCCTCTTTTGGAAATTCCGGGGAGATCGGGTTTTCCTGCCTTGGGCTTGTGTGTTTCCCAGCGCACCCAGCGAAGGCACAAGGGGGGGGGCCTGAACAAGGGTACTCGCCAAAAATCGACAACCCGCCAAATCATCAATCTCAAGGCCCCCCTGAAAAGGTGCCAACTCCAAACCTGTTTCAAGGAAAGCTGTTGTGCAGACGCAGCCCAAATGTTAATCCCACGTTCAACCTCCCGAACTCAATGTTTTTCGAGCAACGTGAGCGATGCACAGCTCGACACCTTTTCCAAGTCGACGACAGTCTTCCAAAGGGTTTGTGCACTGCCAGGTTTGTTTGTTGGTGGGCGGATATGCAAGACTCTAACCGTTTGGATAGCCTCATTTTCTAGAACTACTGTGGGTGGACATCCAGCACGAGTTGGGATGGACTGAAGCCTGTAGGAATATCAACCCACCCGTTCTCCTCCCATTCTGCCTATTTTCAGTCGGGGAGCGGTTCCACCGATTCGGATTCGGGTGTAACGAGCTCACCCCAGCCTTGAAGAACCCCGATTCTGTTGGGACTTACAGCAGAAGCTACCCCGATTCTGGAACAAAGATACATGAAGCCAGCCTTAAGTTGGATCCCAATTTGGCCACTCTTTCCCGGAAGAAAAAAAAGGCCCTGCAAAAACGGCTGGTGTTTGAGGAGAATGATTGAAGAGAACGGAAAAGGAATCACCCCTTAGATTAGAACAGTTGCACCACCCTCCTCACATGTCTTCACGCAAACCCTCAGGTGACTTCCACCGTAAAACGAGCCCAGACCGCAAAATTATTTGGGCGGAGACCCCATTTCTTTCAGCTGTCGCTGCTAGGCGGTACCTGGTGAGGGATATCGTGCGCTGCTTGGGGCACCACGTGAATGTACGGGATCTTCAGATGAAGCGCCGCTCGGATGTGCAAAGGGACACGGTTTGCTCATCGTCATGGCCACCCCAAACCCTGAAAGAGTGTGGCAGGTTGATCCAAGAATAGGACATCTTCCCCTAGTAGTCAACCAAGGTGTTTTAGTGCTGGGGCCCATCACACATGTTCTCTAGGGGTTGATTCCCCATTCTTTGCAGCCATCGTTCTTTTCAAAAACCGATCGCCATTTCCCCAGGGTTTTTGGTGGTTTTCAAGAAAGATCCGGATCCCTGGAAAGAATGGGGAAGTTACCCCAAGATGTTCTCATTCTAATCAACCAAAGGGAAGCACTGAGGCACTTACTATTGGATCTGCTGCCTTTGCATCAACCAGCACCGCGTCAAGGAGGCGAATCGGTGAATGGCGCGACATGCACATGTTGGAGGTTCTCAAAATGATGGAGGTGGCCCTTCAAGCAACCAGTACAAGTTTGAGGATGTCATTTTACCCTAAAGATTCGGCGTGTCTTTCGCCTCCCAACAAAATGCGACTCTGGGGCTGCCCTCTGACCAGCAGGGATGGGTCTTTGTGTCTTCAGAAGGGGAGCACGCACCAATCCATGCTGGTTGGAGCGTACCCTTCAAAAGCCGGCGCTTTTCTTAGTTGGTCTTTCAACCCTGAGCCCTGAGCGCTTGGACTTTTCTTGGACAATGCGACTTTTGTGGGAG